CCCCAAAACCCCAAAACCCCAAAACCCCGTAATTCGCTATAGCATTTTTGATAGTAATTATGCAAATATTAAATAATTTCTGAATATGAAAAGTAGATCAAAAGCACACCAAAGTGATGGTGAGGAGGATGAAATTAAAGATGAAACACAAGTTGCTAACCCCAAGCAGCAAGTCATGACAAAGGATGAGATTGAAAAGCAATAGTTAGAAGGTCTTCCAGTGATTGCAGACTCCGAGATTAGTCCAGCTGCATATCTTTTCTAAAACTAGGAGGAACAAGATGATCTGAACTTATTTGAGTAGCAGTAAGCTATAGTATTAGTAACAATATTAGTTCAACAAAGGTGAAATGTCCTTTCTGTGATGCTGTTTCCTACTCTATTGTTGAATATAGAACTAGCTTCCTTGGCTATCTGGTAGCAGTTTTATCTATCTTGATATTCGGTTTTTTATCAATTATTCTGATGCCTTTCCTTGTCAGCCTTACAAAAGTTGCGCTGCATCGTTGTGCCAAATGCTTGAACGAGGTCAAGTCAAACTCATATTTTGGCTTTTCATCTCTAGAAGATAAGGTATTTGAATTTAAATGAATGATATATTTTTACAGCTCTTAACATTCACTGTTGGAAAGTTTGGCATTATTTTAACGAGAAGATATCTCTTATATATCGTAATGACCATTACTTGTGGTATGGCAATTTATTTGTTTATTCTTGAGGAAGCAGGACATAATCATGATATTAGTAAGATATGAAGGATTTTATTATGAATAGGACCAATTACTGAACTTAAATGGAATGATTTCAGAAGAGATTGCGGTTACTATGCATACATTGCAAGCCCATCTAAAGCAACTGAAAGATTTGAAAAGACTTATTACAATTAGGGTGTCTAATGGGATGCTTATGTGATTCGTGTCAGTCTGAATGAAGAAGATACTATTAATTATGCTTATCACAGTTCAAGTATTATGCTGAAGATGGATCCAAGTGATCAAGATGGAACTCAAGGAGCAGATTTAGGAATTTCGCTATCAGAAAAGATACTTGTCGAATATAAGGATCAAATAGACAAACTTCATAGGGGAGATCATATCAGATTCAACGCCACCATTTTATCTATGGGTGACTCATAACATCTTCATCATCTTCACGCTTTCGGCATTGAAAAGATTCCAGGCCACAAAGATGTTGAAGCACATGTACATGCAGGAGGTAGATATAAATTTAAAACAGTAGCTCATGATCATGATTGAAATTAATATGTAAAGACATTAACTAAATATTTGATGATATCTCTTATGCTATCCTTCACTCAATATATAATGAACAGAATTAATTAAAATTTTAATCAACTAGGATAGTAAGCACCTTGTTTCTTCTAGTTTCTATTTTTCTAATCATGATGTCCTCCTCTGCTACCTTAGCCGCCTCTGCCTCTTCCACGGCCTGTACCTCTACCACGGCCTCTACCATAGGAGCTTTGACTTTCTTCATCCTCACCAGATTCGTAATCTTAGTTGAATTCGACTTTGTGATTTTGAATTTCATTTCTAGGTGGTGGCTTATCATACTTATTCTCTAAATCCTCACCCTAAAGTGGGTTACTAGAAGTGTAGTATCTGTCATTATCATTTTCTTCTCTTTGATAATTATCACTGTAGCCACGTCCTCTTCCACCGCGTCCACCTCTTTGCTATCCTCTACCTCTTCCACGGTCAGAATATCCACCATAGCCACCTCTCTGGTAACTACCTCTGCTACTTTAATCATCTCTTTCATGTCGCTCTGATTTTTCTTCCTCATTTTCACGGTTTTATTGCTATCCTTTCGGCACAAATTTCTAAGTAAATTCCTATTTTTATTATGGCCTTTATTCTCTATCCTTGTACCCACCTTCATCTCTCGATTACTATTAATGATAATCTTATCGTTTCCCTCTTTAGTTGTAGCTGTTAGAGTTGTTGTTATTTTGGTAGTCTCCTCCTCTATCATTTTATCCTCTACCCTAATTCTATCTCTTATCCTAGTCCTTGCCTCTCTAGCCTTTCTAGTCATTTCTCTATTACTATTATTATCTCTCTTAATCTTATTTTTTCCTTTGTTCTTCTTATTGTAATAGCTACTTTTTCCTTTTCTCATCGTCCTCAAAGATGTAGTTTTGATCTTCATCTTCGTCTAAACCTTCAAGTAATTTATCAATATCGTCCATATCATCATCCTCATCATCATCTTAAGGCTATACGTCTTTTTCCTTAGTCTTCTGCAATATTTTGGAGCTCTGAGTTTATGGAGTTGCCTTTTTAGCAGGTTTATTCTGATCCTTTTCAAGACCAAAATAATCATCATCGTCATCATCAGACTCTTGCTGCTTTTGTTTGTTTCTATTCTTGTTCTTTTCTAGATACAAGTTTTAGTCATCAAAGTCATCCTCATATTGCATTTAGCCAGCTAGATGAAGCATTTTCATCTTGAAATCTTTATCTTCATTATCCTCTTCATATTTTTATTGCTCAATAGCTCTTAAGTGCTCTTAGTAATACTTCTTATTCTTAGTTGTTCTAGCTTTAGAACCCTCGAAAGCCCCAAGCATATACTACTAAAGCAGTTCTGAATTTTAAGCTTTATTTTAATGAGTAGAGGTATCTATTTATTCAACTTACTAGTCTTTATTAATAACTACAAGTTTGTATTCATCTTTTGGAATATTTCCACTGAGAATCTAATCCAAAGTCAGCTCCACATTCTTATCATACTTCAAATACATTTGCTCTATAATTTCCTTCTTAACTGTACCACCAGACATGTCAAACAGATTATGAATATTTTCTTTATCTTAAAGCTTCAAATGACTTTAACTGTCCTTTTAATCATTCTTATGGTTAGCTACTTATTTATCATGAGTTATAGCATTTATTTTTTTCACCTAAACTTTTTGACCTTTTTGGAGAGACTCAAGAATAATCTTTAAGAAGTCCTTTTCCCCATCTGGTAAAAATCTATCTTCAATATTCTTAACGAAGCCAAGCATGTCTATTCTCTTTAAAACTCTTCTAAGAAAAGTAGTTCCAATTGTCTCTTGCTCATTTTGAACTGTTATGTAGTTTATCTGTTTTGGTAATATTTCCTTACTAACCTCATTGTTTCCAGTCAATGTCATAGCAAATATTTTTAACTATTGAGCAATTTAGCTTTGAACAACACTATATGAAATATTAGATTTGAATAAGTAACTTACGCAAAACTTTTGCTATGAACTCCAATATTGCTCAGGAATACTTTATCCAAAATTTAACAACAACTCTACAAGCATAACTTCTTAACTGTTTAAAGTTCAGCTGCAAAAGCATACCCATGAAGTTTCTTTAAATTTTTATCTGTATTTCCCTTGATCTTAGGAATATAGATATTGAGTTTGTTTACTAAGTCTCTCTTCATTTGCAAAGTCAAGCAATATGAGTTGGCCAAATAAATAATAGAGTTAGTTCCTCTTAAAGTGTCCAGAACACTTCCAGGAAAAGTTGAAGTAATCAAATTTATGTTGCTTAAAATCTCAGTATAGTCAGTCAAGTAATTTAAAATATGAGCTTCTAGCTCCTTATGAGTCATCTCCTTAACATGCTCTCCCTTAATCATAGCTTATATCGTAGAATATTCCTTAAAAGTCTTTTTTATCAATTTAAACAAGGAATCGACTGCTTCTTTGAAATCCTCCACATATCTTTTGTCATTCTCAAAGATATTGTTGATGATTTTATGTACAATGTCCTAATTGCTCTTTCCATAAACAGCTGCAATATCAATTACCTTAGCCATGTCAAAGACCCAATTATCATATACAAGTCTTGAATAAAAAGGTAAAGTGAATTGCACCTCTTCACTCTCTTGATAAACACTCAATCTATAGAATATTCTCAATACTAGATAGAGCATTTTGCTCATCGACTCCTTTATCTATTGGTTAATATTTAGACCTTACTTCGGTTCATTCTAATCAACTTCATTTTAGCTTTATTTCTCAGTGAACTCAATAAACTAAACCTTATAGATGTCGTTATATTTTCTCACATTTTGCAAAAATTCATCTAGGAATCGCAAAATTTCAGGAAGCTTGATGATCACACTCCAGAAGTGAGTGAATCTAAGATTAAGTATGAACTCTAAATCTCTATTAATCAATCTTGAAAAGTGAGAGAACTCAGCATCCTGGAGAATGTCCTTTTCCTCCTCAGAAAAGTTCTCCAATTTCGCATAATATGCATCTATCAATTTGTTGTCTAGCAAGTAATAGTTGGGGATGTTAATGTCCTCAGGCTAAAATTTGCCAAATTCTTCTTCGCATCTACTGCTATCTGATTGAACACTGGCCTACGAAAGTTGCTGAGACTTCTCAACTGACTTCTATTGATCTGAAGTACTACTCTAGTTGAAGTCTTTTTCTTGTTACTTCTTAACTTCTTAATTGTTGAATGATGTCAAATCAGACACTATCTTGACGCCCTTTTTGCCTTTAAATTTTTTCGGGGGCATTATTACTACTAATAATTAATAACAATTCTTGCTTAAATTAATATTGAGTCCAATCCACAATTACTTAGTTTCAAGGGGTTTTGGGGTTTTGGGGTTTTGGGGTTTTGGGCCAGATGCATCTGGAACTAATG